CCTCTTCGCTCATCGAAACCATCTCCGTGCTATTGCCATCTTATCGAAATTCACTCACTGGCCTCCTCGCCGCACGGTAGCGGTCTATCCAAGACACCGAAGGGGCGAGGGTGCTTCGGCACGATGGAACAGCCGTAAACACTTCTCTGTGTTTCTGTGACTCCGCGCCTCGCCGCGGTGGTCCAGTGGCTAAGGTACTCGGCTGCTGACCCGCAGGTCGCGGGTTTGTATCCCGGCTGCGGCGGCTGCATTTCCGATGGAGGCGGAAGTATTGTAGGCCCGTGTGCTCAGATTTGGGTGCACGTTAAAGAACCCCAGGTGGTCGAAATTTCCGGAGCCCTCCACTACGGCGTCTCTCATAATCAATTGGTGGTTTTGGGACGTTAAACCCCACATATCAATCAAAATCGATTCTGTGACTCCGCGACGACAGTGACTGCCGGCGTGTCTTCGGGAGATCGGCGGCTGAGCGAAAATTCGCCCCATATCTTTGCTTCAAATGACCACGAAGCGGGCAATCTTGGGGGAGTTAACAATGTCCTCTGTGAGGCTTCCGCGGTGTCTGAATAGGCAGCTCGAGCACCCAACTGAAGTCTTTTCTTCGCTACCTTATTGTGTAACCCAGACCCCGTCCCTCGTTACCACAGATTATGGCGGGGGCTGCGCCGCTTAGCCGGAGAGGGTCTATGGCAGAGCGGGGAGCATGGCTGAAAATGAGGTGCAGGTGTGCAAGTTTAGCTGGTGTCATTCGTCACCAGTACGTCACCTCCAGAGGTGAATCAATAGCGCGCGAGCAATCCTGAGGCTGGCACTGGCGTCCTCCTCGCACTCTTTCTTTTCCCTCTTTCGTGCGATGCGGGGCCAGCAATTCTAAATACACAGAAGGGCCGACTCCAAAAACTCGATGAGTGCACCACGATGCTGCTTTTAAAAGAAAAGTCATCGCGTGTGCCGAAACAGACGAAAATTGGGCCGCATCGCGGTCGTTCGGAGTTTCCGAAAGGTGCGTGCGGGACTGGCGGAAACAAAAGCAGAAGATTGTCGACAGCAAAAAATTCACGCAAAGGCTTCAGTGAACTACAGCAGGGCCGGTTTCCGCAAATTGAAGAGCTGCTCGCCGAGTATGTGCTTGAGCAGCGAGCGGCTGAGCGGCCCGTGACGACAGAACTGCTCTAAGTACGGGCTATGCAGTTAGCTTTCGAAAAAGGGCTAATGCGGAGCCAGTTCAAAACGAGCAGGTGCTGGCTAACTAACTTAATAAAGAGAAAAGGCTTTTCTCTCCGAAAGCAAACGGGCATGGGCCAAAACTTGCCGGAGGAGTACGAAGAAAAGCTTCACAGTTTTCAGAAGTTCGTCCTAAACTTGTGGCACAACAACGGCTACTTGCTCGGGCAAATCGGGAATGCCGATCAGACGCCTCTTTACTTCGACATGCCTGGCACCACAACCGTCGAGAAGAAGGGGGCGAAGCAAGTTCGCATGCTGACATCGGGCCACAGTGAAACAAGAGTGACGGCAATGCTCCGTTGCACGTCAGATAGCCACAAGCTTCCCCCGTACCTCATATTTAAACGAAAGACGCTCCCGAAAGGAGTCATTTTCCCGAGTAGTGTGATCGTGCAGACCAACGAGAAAAATGGGTGCGCGTTGCAATTGATGTCTTACTTTGTTTTTTTTTTTTTTTTCCGTCGTGAAAACCGAGTGCGCGTTACAATCGAGGGCGCAGTAGAATCGAGTAAATACAGTATTCCCACCCGTTATGCTCTGGACCAGTTAAAGTACGACAAACCGACTCGCCCAATCTTCAACACTTGTTGACAAATTGTCTTTTACTCTGCCCTATCCCTATGACCTGTGGATTGAAATAGTTGCTTTTTACTCAAAGAGAGATTTAAGATTCAGTTTCTGATCTTATAAGGAATATTACCCTCTGAGATTTCGCGTCGATCATAGACATTTTTTGCTGATCGATGACGAACGACAAGTGCAAATTACCCTACGTCTGATAAGAAAATTGTATCACTGCTCGACTACTCCATGCTGCCCAAAAAATTTTCGAAAGTAACCTACAAGTAGGGTAATTGCCCAACAGTTGGCGATATTGGCACCAAGTGAGATGGGATCCAGGGTGGTTTTCATGTAAACATAGTTGGCTACGTGGAACGTACAAAACCATTTGTTTTATCCGAAGGTATGTGCTGCTAAGATCTCCTCCGAATCGTGTAAATATGCATGGCCCTTCAAAAATATACTGTCAAGGTTGTCGGCCTTGGTACTACTGGGCTAGTCTGCCCCCTCCTTCCGTTGAAAATGTTTGCTAGGAGAGAGCACTGGCAGCACAAACTCATGACGAAGGTTGTAATTGGTTGTTCACAGGTGCATTTCGCATGCTATGGTGTGACAAGCACTTTAGTAAAATTTATTTTTAATGTATGCTATGGTGTGACAAGCACTTTAGTAAAATTTATTTTAAATGTGTTCTAGGCTATATTATCCATCGATATTTCCTAGCTGGCGTGTGTGTCCACACAGATCTATTGCATAAATTATCTCGCTTTCAAAATTTGTCAAAATATCGGCCCTCTCAGGTAGGCCACCACCAAAAACAGTTTTTGAACAAAAAAAATGAAAATAAAAAAGAATTTTTTTTCATTCAATGTTTTCAAGTTGCCTGTCTGTTGAAGAATATTTCTAAAAAAAATATATGTAGCTATCTTGAGCCATTAGAAAGTTAAGATTATTTTTCCAACCCCTCCTAGACGCATGTGAAACTGAAACTGAAGTTTTCTGACTCCACAGTACCTGTGATATCATCATAAATGTCTCTTAGTATACTTATCATGCGTCGCTAAGTTGTCTAAGCACATTTCAAAGCTTGTGGGAGTATTTGTTTTTGATTTATTTAAAAGTTTCCATGTCACGGCTGTGGCACTCCGTTGTTTAGGCTTTGTAAACAACCCCAGGTGGTAGAAATTTCCGGAGCCCTCCACTACGACATCTCTCAAAATCATATAGTGGTTTTGGGATGTTAAACCCCAGATATGAATCAATATCAATTGTTGTTTAGGTTGCCTGCATTTTTGCTTGGCTGTATGTCTTTTTCGTACACCATTTCGAGCTCTTAGGCTTGGTTCTGATCTTTCATAGAGAAAGTTATCACACTGTTTGAAATATGAAGTATGGGATGAAAAAGAGGCGTCAACGCAAGTTAGGAACACTGTACCAAGCGTAGTACCCGTCTGATGGCGATGCTAAGGTGCAAAACAATCTTTAAAAAAAAAAGATATATGCTTCAAATCTTTCAAATGAATATTGTTCCTCTTCAAAAAAAAAAAAAAGATACCAAGCTCTCTTCAATTTTGCACATATTGAATGGTTCTTTATTATGTGAACAATCAGTTGAAATCATTGAAACCGTTTTTCTCAAAACATGTTTCTTGCATCCTGTGGCAAGTGAACGGTGGTAACATTACTTTCTACTGAATATTCTCGCACAAAACTTTGCATATTTTTTTATAGGTGGAACTGTGCATTCAAGCAGTATGATAGACAACAAGGGGTGCTAACTTTTGTGTTTATGACCGATTGTGTGCAAGACCAATCTGCCAAATATACCTTTATCTGTATTTTTATGATGTAATATCTTAACTTAGAGTTGTGGTGACTGTGGAGGTTAGATACACAGGATATTGTCTTCTCTGTGTACAGTCGTCAGTAGGTTTAACGCGTACGCTCCAAAGCATGACCTGGACCACTTTGATGGCAGCGCGAAGCGCTTGGCGCTGTTGCCGAGATAATACTTCGATGTGCATGAATGGTATGGCGGCACGCATGGGTAATATATAAGCAACACAACGTAAGCTATCTGACTCTAACGTCAAACTGTTTCAGGACGCGCATCCGAGTGTTCGTGTTAAGCTTGCTGTCTACTGTACATTGCAGTGTCGTTTGAATCACTCCAACCATTTTGTAGTTATGACTATTGGCACATCATGAATATTTTGACACATTGATTTTTATTTTTTTTAGAATGTTCAGTGTTATCATTTTAAACTTTGAATTTATCTAAGCCCTACGATTCAAAACTATAATTAGAACTTTTGGATGCAACTATAAAATTTTTTCAAAGTTTGTGACTTGCCTTAACAATGTCGCATGCCATGGCTATATGCTCTTAAACGCTTGAGAAAACCTTTTGAAAGTTTAGAAATGGTTCATACTAATGCTCTGGGACAACATTAAAGAGGCTGCATTTCTCGACCTGGATGGCTGGTCACCCCACCTATCAAGTACATTGCTGAGCGCATGAGTGGTACTATTTCTTTAGTTGCACTTCAGTCATCTAGGCAGTGCACCATGGGACTTTGTTGTATCAATATGCAAATGTTTATAACTTTATATACTAGTAGGATTGCTGTTTCTTCTTTAGAACCTACTGATACCAATTATCTCATTTAATGCAAGATTGGGAATTGGTGAGGGGAGCACAGCAATCGTAGTAGTCGCCCCGCCGCGGTGGTCTAGTGGCTAAAGGTACTCGACTGCTGACCCGCAGGTCGCGGGATCGAATCCCAGCTGCGGAGGCTGCATTTCCGATGTAGGCGGAAATGTTGTAGGCCTGTGTGCTCAGATTTGGGTGCACGTTAAAGAACCCCAGGTGGTCTAAATTTCCAGAGCCCTCCACTACGGCGTCTCTCATAATCATATGGTGGTTTAGGGACGTTAAACCCCAGATATCAATTAATCAATCAATCGTAGTAGTCTTTAGGGATCTGATATTTATCTCTTTTCTATCCCCCCTGCTTGTCTGAGCCAACTTTGTCTTCTGGTTTGTGAGGAACTTTTAAAGCATTTTTATTACAGATTTCTTGAAATTTACTTGGTGTGCAGCACCTTATAGTTGCTTTTTCTGAATTTGACTTCATAATTTTTTTTTAGCTTGTAACTATAAATATTGTAACCTGTTCCCAGACCAATGATGGGGCTTTTGCCGATTTCAGGCTGGCCAAGAAGCATTTCGCTCAATCACCCGATCCTACTACAGGGGAGCAGCTGGAGCTCTCCTTGTGTATGACATCACACGGTATGCGTCGCTTTCTTGTCCATGATGCGCATGACTGCACCAGATGCACTTACATATTGTTTCCATTCTTAGAAGGGACACCTTCAACCATCTGACCACCTGGTTGGAGGATGCTCGCCAGCACTCCAACTCCAACATGGTAATCATGCTCATTGGGAACAAGAGGTAAATTTAATTTGCTTGCATGGCTTTTGTAACAGCTTGAATTTAACTAGCGACCAAAGACATTAAAAATTTCTTCGTTATTCATTTGATTCTGCTGAACTATTTTGGAACCCAAACAAGTATTATTGTAATTATTATTATTATTATATTGCTGCATTCAACCTGCAGAGAAAAGCTCGCACAGCAAGAAATAAAGACGAAGTCCTTGCCTGGTCCTATTTACGAGCGTCTTTCATTTTATTAAAGTGAGCTCTTCTATATCGTCTCCGTCGTGACACTGGTGGAGGAGCTGGGTACATGTCCAGGACACCTTCCAACAGCCCTGAATCTAGTCCACAAAGACTTCCGCTCGTCGAACCACCCTTTCACCGCGCCAGCCGCCGCCTGTTAGGCCTGAGCCCGGAGTTTGGTCCTTGGATGGAAAACATGACCGTGCCCGGAAGCAATTGCCCCACCATGACCTGCCCAAGCATGACACAGGTGACTGTTTTCACCCCTAAAATCCCTGTGGACTTCCACGGCAACACATATGAGGACACAGATGACTGGCTTAAGGAGTTTGAGCGCACAGCCAACGTTAATGGGTGGAACGCCGCATAGAAGTTGGGGTACATGTATTTCTCTCTTCAGGACGGGGCTCGCACATGGTTCACAAATCGTGTGTGATCAACGTGGGACGAGTTTCGGCTGAAGTTCCTGGACACCTTCGCAAACATCGAAAGGCGGGAGCATGCACAACGACTCCTCGAATCACAAATTCAAAAGCCAAATGAATCCGTTGCTATGTTTGTTGAGGACATGGCTCGTCTCTTCCATCAAGTCGACCCCGATATGTCCGAGAGCAGAAAGATCAGCCACCTCATGCGCGGTGTTAAAGAGCAGCTCTTTGCTGGTCTCGTGTGGAACCCACCTTCAAGCGTCGACGAATTTTCGAAGGAGGCGACCGCCATCGAACGCGCACTACAGCTACGCTACCGCCAGTACGACTGCCCAAACAACAGCGTACAAATCAGTGCAACTGCCACGACCACTGTGGCACCTGACGAGCGTTGTTTGCGTGACCTGATACGCGAAATTGTGCAAGAAGAGGTGCTTGCCTCCACACTGAATGACTGCGCGATTGCGTTGGTCACAGAAGTTGTTCGCCAAGAGATAAGGCAAGCCCTTTCACTTCCTGAGCCGAACACTGACATAGTTAGGCCAACATATGCAGATATTCTCCGTCAACAGCCATCTCACGTGCCGCCACCTCAGCAGTACCACCAGCAACAGCCGCCAACAGTGCCTTGGTACTATAAGGAAACGTCGACACCGATGCGACCTCCACCCCGCAAAACCGACATCTGGCGTACCCCTGACTACAGGCCCTTGTGCTTCCATTGTGGGGAAGCAGGGCACATCGTGCGGTATTGTCCTCATCGCTTTGCCGGGTACCAAGGTTATCCGTCCACTACCCCTCGGCGCTATTTCGACGCAAGATGCAACGTTGATACGGGCACGACGATCCCGCGGGACGTTTCTCCTGGGTTCCGGTCACGCTCGCCCTCTTTTGGTTGTTTTCCCCAACCTAATACAGGTAGCACCACGGACATGGCGAGAGGAAAATCTCCCAGTCCACGCCAGAGAAACTAAAAGCAGCGACCTTAAAGGGGCAGGTTGCGAATTGCCGAAGAGTTGAAAATCCCCCATTACCGCCGCACATTTCGAATGAATCCATGAAAGACGAGATTGTCACCGCCGACATTACACTTTCAATTGACGGCCACAATGTGACGGCACTGGTCGACACTGGTGCGGACTTTTCAATGAGTGCGAATCTGGCCGACAAACTCAAGAAGGTGAAAATGAAATGAACGGGGCCACAAATTAGAGGAGCCGGAGGCCAGTTGCTGACGCCTACCGGAGAGTACACCGCACGAATCATGATCGGGGATTCATCATTCGTCGCAACCTTCGTTAATCTTTCTGAGTGTTGTAAACAGGCCATCTTGGGTATGGATTTCTTGCGGGAGTACGGTGCCATCATAAATATACCGGACGGTGTACTGACCTTCTCAGCAGACCATAGCGCAGCGCAAGCCCATGCGCGTCATTGACGACGTCACCATGCCACCGTTGTCATGCCACCTCGTCTCTGTCACGTGTAACACGCAGCATACTGGAAAATGTGTCGCGGAACAAGTATCGACGCTTTTACTCTCTCGAGGAATTGCTATTGCCAGAAGTCTCGTCAGTGTAGTGTCTGGGCAGGCAGAGGTCCTGTTGACAAACTTCAGCAACGAGCGTCGACACATTACAGAGGGTACCACAGTTGCATACTTTGAAGAAATTGTAGAATTCCGCGAGTGCTTCGCAGTGCAGCAGGCAGAGACGCTGGCCGCTTCAACACCATTACCTGTCGACGTGAGCACAGATTTATCGCCAACACAGAGGCAGAGTCTTCTAGATGTTCTTGGCCAGTTTGAAGATTGTTTTTCATCGACCTCGAGGGTAAATCAAACGCCACTGACAAAGCACCGAATTATAATGGCAGAGACGGCAAAACCAATTCGACAAAGCCATACCGCGTGGCGCCGAAAGAACGCGAAGCAATCCAAGAACAAGTCCAGAACATGCTCGATGATGACATCATTCAGCCGTCAAAAAGCCCTTGGGCATCACCGGTAGTGCCAGTTAAGAAGAAAGACGGCAGCTTACGCTTCTGTGTGGACTACCGCAAGCTGAACCGCGTGACAGAAAAAAGACGTATACCCATTACCGCGTATTGACGATTCGCTTGACAGGCTGAGGCATGCACGCTTCTTCTCGTCGGCGGACCTGAAAAGCGGATATTGGCAAATCGAGGTCGATGAGCGAGACAGAGAAAAGACTGCTTTTGTTACGCCTGATGGGCTTTACGAGTTTAAAATCTTGCCCTTCGGATTGTGCTCAGCCCCAGCAACATTTCAGAGACTGATGGATACCGTTTTATCAGGCCTTAAGTGGCAGACGTGTCTGGTATACCTCGACGACGTCATTGTTTTCTCAGCAACATTCGAAGAGCATCTAAGAGGGCTGCTATTAGTATTTCGAGCAATACGGTCCGCTGGAACGCTGAAACCTGAGGAGTGTAGTTTCGGTTTCAAAGAACTCCAATTCTTAGGACATGTGGTGAGCCATGAAGGTGTTTGTCCGGACCCCGACAAGATCGATGCCGTCCGAAAATTTCCGGTGCCAACGGATAAGAAGGCTGTGAAACGTTTTCTTGGCCTTTGCGCCTACTACCACAGGTTTATCACCAATTTCTCGCACATAGCGTCACCCTTAACATGCATAATGAGAGACGATGTTCCATTTTTATGGGGCGAAGAGGAGCAAGCAGCATTTGACGATGTACGACAACGCCTGCAGACACCACCTGTGCTTGCTCACTTTGACGAGGACGCTCCTACCATGATCCACACCGATCCCAGCAGCGTAGGTTTAGACGCTGTACTCGTCCAGTGGCAAGAGTCAGCCGAGCGGGTGATTGCATATGCAAGTAGGATGCTTTCCCGTGCCGAGTCCCATTATTTCACAACGGAAAAGGATATGTATGGGCAGTTATGAAGTTTCGCCCATACATCTACGGCCGTCCCTTCCACGTAGTCAGCGACCACCATTTCCTTTGCTGGCTGATCAACTTGAAGGACCCATCTAGTCGGCTAGCGCGCTGCAGCTTACGCCTACAAGAATTCGATATGACGGTCGTCTATAAGTCGGGACGGCAGCACTCTGATGCTGATTGCTTATCAAGGTCGCCTATAAAGCAAGACGATGTCTCAGAAGATGATGACATGGCATTTTTAGGAGTGGTCGACACGGTCACCATTTCGTCTAAGCAGAAAGAAGACAGTGAGTTGCTTCCTCTTATTAATTTTCTTAACGGCCAGTCTACAAGTGTTCCCAAGATATTTGCAAGGAGCCTGCCATCATTCTGCTTGCGCAGTGGTGTCCTTTACAAGAAGAACTTTTCCCCCAGCGGAAATGCCCACTTACTTGTTGTCCTGACATCCATTCGTGATGAGATCCTGAGCGCTTGCCACGATGAGCCAACTTCCGGCCACCTCGGATACACGCGCACATTGGCCAGAATCCAACAGAAGTACTACTGGCTGAAGCTTCCAGGCACTATACGCACGTGCCTCTATTGTCAACGACGAAAATTGCCACCTTTAAAACCAGCCGGATTGTTGCAACCAGTTAAAGTGCCCACCATGCCTTTTGCACAAATCGGAATGGATCTCCTTGGACCATTTCCAACTTCGCATACTGGAAACAAGTGGGTAATTGTCGCTACGGACTACCTTACTCGCTACGCCGAAACAAAGACTTTATCACCCGGAACCGCAGTAGAAGCGGCACGATTTTTCATTGACAATATCGTTCTGAGGCATGGTGCTCCTAGAATTATAATAACGGACAGAGGTACCGCTTTCACGGCCATGCTCCTCAAGTCAGTGCTTGAGTTGAGTGGAACAGCGCATCGAAAAACTACTTCCTACCACCCACAAACCAACTGCTTAACAGAACGCCTCAACAAGACAATTGCTGATACGCTCAGTATGTACATCAACGTGGATCATAAAAATTGGGACGACGTTCTACCATACGTGATGTTTGCCTATAATACGACGCAGCAGGAAACTACACGGAGCACGCCATTTAGTCTTCTTTATGGCCATGAAGTGACCACAATGCTTGATGCCATGTTGCTGCACGGCTGCGACGATACAGACACGGATGTTCAAGTCTTTACCCAACAAGCTGAAGAGGCGCGGCAGCTAGCACGCGTGCTAATCGCCCGGCAGCAAAGTTACGACGCACAACGTTATAACCTGCGACACCGATACGTCACTTATCAACCAGGCGAGAAAGTGTGGGTCTGGAGCCCTACTCGCCGACACGGCCTTTGTGAAAAGTTACTGAAGAAGTACTTTGGCCCCTACAATATTGTACGGCGCCTAAAGTGACGTGAATTATGAGGTCATCCCTGACAGTTCCTCGCGAACTCACCAGCAAAAATCGGAAATCGTACACGTTATGCGGATGAAACCATCTTGCAGTGAGCCAGTTGTGTAATACATCAACTACATTCACCGCGTATTTTGTAGCAGAGCATCGGGACGATGCTCTTTTTGGAGGGAGGCAAATGACGCATTCAACCTGCAGAGAAGGGCTTGCGCAGCAAGAAAGACGAAGTCCTTGCCCGGTCCTCTTTATGAGCGCCTTTCATTTTAATTAAAGTGAGCTCTTCTATATCAAACTTCTGCTATGTCTGCGTCGTGACAATATGCTGAACTATTGACAGCACAGCCATATCATAATTGTGTTGTGTATTGGGCATTTGTTTTGTGTGGTGAGCCAGACAAAAGCTGGAGCTGTGGCTTGCTGAGAGCCAGATAGGAAAAATAAATGGATAGTGAGAGTTATCTTTGAGAAGAAAAAAGAAACTGTGCGTGATGTGAATTGCACCTGTGGCTTTGTAGAGTTTTTTTTTAATGCAAAAATTCAATTTAATGAAAATCTATTTTGAGCCTATAATAAGTGGAATTGGGCTTTTTTTTTTTTTGGTGAGTTGCTTTTGCTTGAATGTTCGAGTTTCTTTTTTTTTCTTATTTGCATTTTCCCCACAAATGTAGTTATTTCAGGGATCATTGCGTTCCTATACAGTGTGTTTGTTATTCACTATTCTATGTTCCTACTGAGTAGTGGAGTGTTTGTTAAACATACGTCTGGTGAATCAACAAGTAATGTTAATCATGCGCCAACAAGCATGCATTCAAGCGAATGGAGACTACGCTGCAGACATTGTTAAAAGCTAACTAAGTGGTTGAATTTCTATTTACTCATATTTTTTTGCTGTAGAAAATAGTGTTTTTTTTCTAAACTCGATACTTTACTGGCATTTTCCATTCTACTTAAAAATATTTTCAAGATTGGAAAAAATCATCTAAGGGGTATAATAGGATAGATAAACCAAAAAAAAATTTTTAGAATTTCGTTTTTAAAAATAATACACACTTTAAGAAACAAAGCCCTTTGACGAGTGCGTAAGGGTTGGTGCTCTAAGCCCTTTTGAAATGGTCCCGAAGATCACGCTTCCTAAAAGATGTGTGGGCTCATTTTCGTCATTGTTTCTCTATGTATCCATTTTTAATATAACTAGATCTATAGAATATAGTCATTTCCCATAATTTTAAAGCTTTCTGGTTGCAAATGTTTTGACCAAAATATTTTGTTCATCATAATTATTGCTGTGTGTTGTGAATGCATTCTGCACCTTTTTTTGTTGTTGTATTACGTAAAATTGTGTTTTTGACAGTCAGTTTATTCAACTTTCCCAACTTCATGTGCCCTTTCTGGAAAGCTATCCTACCGATCGAACTCGTATTTTCTCACATAGCTTCCAAGTCCTTTTCAAATAGGCTGAAACTGATGTTTGGAAAACTGTATAAGCTGCAATTAAAAAAAGGAATAGTTAGACAATCTTTCCCACAACACACAAATGAGGGCAATATATTTTTTCGGAGATATATGTAGAAGCCTGATTTTTATCGGTTCGGATTGATACCAGTGTAACATTGAATATGCATGCCGAATTTCAAAGTCATATTGTTTTTGGTTTTTGAGAAAAGGTAAATTTGTTTTGTGCCCCAGTTTAAATGTGTTACTCTACAAGAAGTGAGTAAGAAAAGTTACAGGGTCAAATTTGTACACACTCAAGCCGCAAGCTTTCCTATTGTGCATACAAAATTTTCGAACAAGATATGGGTCACTTTCTCGGTTACAAAAGTTAAACGATGAAAACCTGTTCATACCCTTTTAAGTTTCTGCTTTTTTTGGGGGGGGGCTGCTTCGCCAAAGTCGCACAGTTTTTTTTTTTTTTGGCTTCTTTTGTGATGAATATTTGCTTGTTGCTGAGTAGCATCAGGAAACACTTTACGTGACCTACTTGCACATTAAGCTATTAGTGATGGTTGTTTGCCCAGCCATTTTAAGTGGTTTGTGAATTTTCAGGTCGGTGACGAAGTTTTGGTTGTATCATCATCTTGGTGCTAAATACATGCAGTCTTACATATAAGACTGACAGGTCCTTTGCAGAGTTCAATTTGAGCACTCGTTTGATGTGTTGCTAAGTACCCACTACGTTTGGGTATCTGCATTGTGGGAGTGGTGGTCATTTTCAAATGCAGTGACTTGGAAACTCGGAGGGAAGTGAAGAAGGAAGAGGGGGAGGCCTTCGCTCGTGAGCATGGCCTTATCTTCATGGAGACTTCAGCCAAGACTGCAGCCAACGTTGAGGAGGCTTTCATCAACACAGCCAAGGAGATTTATGAAAAGATTCAGGAAGGTGTCTTTGACATAAACAATGAGGTAATGTTTGGCTGTGTTGAACCATCATGTCGAAATAGCGTACTGCTAATACTTTGCCCAGGAAGGCACTAGCAAAAAAAAAAAAAAATGTTGCAGCATGTTTCTATACAAAATAATCTGCACATTTATGGCAATGTTATCAAAGGTGGAATGGTTGTTTTTTATGGCTTTGTAAACTAAGTGTGGTTGCTAATCAACATAAGTCCTCATTCCTGTCGTGCTGTGTTGTCTGGGGGTCCCTCATGGTTAAATTTTAAACACTACTTTGTGTAATGCCACCTAGTAGTTCTGATAAAATTTCATAAAGCAGGAGGCAGCTAATGTGTTGTAAGCTCGCAAAATATATGCAACTATGTTTATTTTAATATAGGAATGTAAAAAGACCACATCCTACTGCAGGAGAAAAGTAATCAAGCCAAAATATGATGAGTACCATGGAATTCCACTGTTTCATCCTATGGTGCTGCAGTTTCCTGACTGCTATGTTGCCTTTGCCTAGTCTCAGCATGGCTTGCATGGAATACTGTGTATTAAAAACCAGGCTGTTACGTTGTAGCTGCCGAAGTGTTCCCGTAGGTTCTGCTGAAATCTGGCACCACACTGTAAAAGTGTCTAGAAATCGTGCACATACACTCAAACCTTCATTTGATGAAGACGGATATAACAAATTTTTACTCATAACAAAGTAAATGAACAGGCTTGTTCGGGGTACAGTGTAACAAATAAATGTTTATAACAAATTTTTGGCTATGACGGGCTTAATGTTGTGCAGACATGACTGTTGAAATGAGCTTTGTGTGTATACATACATATAAAGACTCAGAACTTGGATTCCTAGGAACTGCTGTTGTAGGATTCTGTAGCAGTAAACATGTTGAAAAATACTTTAGGGAAGGGGGTAGGGTGGCACTTGCTCGGTCATTGGTGCTTATCTGATTACAGGATAACATTCTGCGGCTATTAAAAAACAAAAAAAGAGAGACACACAAGCACGACAACTCGCATTTTTAATAGCGGTAGAATGTCATTCATTAAGCAATACCAACTAGGTCAAGGATAACTTCTGCTCAAGTTTATATTTGAAATCCCCTTAGAAGTGGAACTGGGCACTTGCTCGGTATTCTAAGGTAAATGCTCCTTTGTGGAACATGTAATCACCATCATTTCCACGCTTAAAACTGTAGCTTCACCCAGAAATATCGGAGTTGCCCGATTGTCATCCTTGATAAGTGAACTTCCATCTGGGCATAAGTTGTTATTGTGCGCTTTGACTTTACATGTATGCCGCTGAACTTAAAGGAGCACTGACATCAAATTTACTCATGCCATTTTGCGTTATCAAGTAGCTATAGACCCCGTAGCAGCGATTCGTGACCTAAAACGCAACTGAGGGATGTATAACTATCACTTTTATTGATTTATAACACTGGTATCTAGCACTATTCAAAACGGCCGGCAATCCCGCCATTTTCAGCGCTGGGAGCACCAGCAGTGGCACTACCCCGTGGTCACCTCCAGACCACGCCACAGCTGACCACTTCTCCACAGAAAAGAGTGACGTCAGGCTCAGCTGCTCCGCAAACATTTCGTCTGCTAGGCGGACACACTCAGTCATGCCTTTTCATCTGCATTGCTGTCGTCGCCCGACAAAGTGCCAACTCAGGTTCAATACGATAGCCTGCAGCTTAAAATCCCCGCGATTCGAGACGTCGCAATTTATTTTTGCTTGGATCGACTTTTCGCAGAACAGTGATTTTGAAATAAACGCTATTCCAAGCAGCACTGCAGAGGTGCCCGAGGGTGCACGCTTCAGCCATGTTCGCTCGTGTGTCTCAGTTAGCTATATTATGTTGTTGGTATAAATGGTGTTGAGAAAACTGAAAACAATGAGGTAAACCATGTGACCTGCCAGTGAGCCCAAACGAAAACAAAAATAAGCTGTATACGGTCATGTTCTATACAGCTTGTATAGTAGCTGTATACTAAAATCAGGGATCCCATTCCTGCGCCAACATGATAAAATCCACGTATATTGCGCTAAATTGCGCCAAACCGTATATGTGAAGGGTCCGCAACCTGTAGCCCGCGGGCTGCATGTGGCTCGCAGGGCAGTTTTATGCGGCTCCTGGAACGACGTCGGAAATCTTAAAATCGCTAGACACTGTATTTGCGACAGTATATAAGTAGCATTAATAAATGTTTTAATTACCAGAGACAGCGGTAGAGTCTAATGAGGGAATTCTTTACCTTCCTGTGAACAGGCCGTTGCCGCTTTCAAAAATTGGCCCCCAGTACTTCTGCAGAGCAATGAAATTCCACCTCATTCTGCGGTGGGACCGCAACGAAAGCTCCGATGAGCGCAACTATAGCAGGAGGCTAGAGATACTTCACTGTTCACGATGATGATTGCAGTGGTGTTAGTTCTGCATTGGTTTACTCACGTACGCCAACGCCATATATATGTACTCTAATCGCAAACTAAACCCGTTTGCAAACGAAACCCAGTTGCAGCAAAGAATACAGTCGCCGACCGATTTTCCGGACTCCAAAAGTTCGGACTTGTTGGATATTCCGGACTTCATAAATGCACCGTCAGCGATTCCATAGAGCTAATGCATTGTTTCGACCGATTTTTCGGGCGAATTTGCCCCTCAAAGTTCGATTTTTCGGACTAAATCGCTCGTTTTGTGCCACGCTCCAAGCCATTGTGAACGCCGCCATGTTGGATTTTCTGTCGGCTTGGCTAAGCTTGGTCTTCAAATGTTTTTCCTGCCTCCGAGATTGGAATGCGCACGCCATGTTTTAAGTTTCGGAGGCCGTGTTTGCTTTTTAAAAGACGCGGTGATGGACGCCGTTTTTTCGTCTTCGGTCAGCACTATCGTCATCACATCGCACGGGGAGGAGGCGGGATTCTTTTATTGTCGTTGCAGCTTTTTTCAGTCGCCATTCTGCACGTGTTGTGTCGCGTAGCGTCGAGACGTTGTGTGCTTCGCAGCGGCTATCTGCGGCATCGAATTTTGTGTTCTCGGTGCCATGGCTCCGCTATCTGTGCCATCGCGGGAGCCAGGTGGTGTGAAGAAGCGTGGGAAGTATACGACCCTGACGATGGAGAAGAAAGCTGCCATAATCAAGCTAATAGAGAGTGGACGTTCGCAGCTAGATATCGCTGGATGACGGTCGACGTCGGATGGCGGTCGTCGTTGTCGTCGGATGACAACGACGACCGCCCGCAGCCGTCGGAGATCGCCAACGCGGTGACAATTCTGTTGAGCGTTTACGGCGACGATGTCACCTTGGCGCAAATACGGGCAAACCAAATTGCCTCCAAGCGTAGTTTGAGGCAAGGCAGCATCAAGGACTTTTTTAAACCTGCCTGATGCAATAAACTTCAGATTTTTGGCAAAAACGAATTTTTCGGACTGTTCGATTTTTCGTACTTTTTTTCGGTCCCCGCCAGGTCCGAAAAATCGGTCGGCGACTGTACCATATTTACTTGCGTAATGAACACACTTTTTTTTTTAATATGAGCAAAGTTGGGGGTGCATTTATTATGCGGGGCAGGTTTTATGAAAACTTTTTTAGCATGAGTGAAAAATGCTGTAATGCAAAAAAAAAGTTATGTCGCTTAGCTTTCCTAATATGCGTAGACTGTTTGGAAATAGGTTCTTTGTTGCACTTTATTCATATTCCGTGGTTGATAGTGTTATCTTCCACAAGTGCTGGCCGCGCACGTCATAAAAGCGTTTTGCAGCTATAGTTCCTTGCTATGGTTTAATCCCAACAGTGGTATGTGCTGTGATCTTGAGGGGCGCCCAGAAGCGTGCACTACGACGCACTTTGCCAACTTCACGACAACCTCACACGACGCCGTTATTGTCATTGTAGCAAGTAACGAACATTGCAGCAAGCTACCCTTGAAACATGAAAAAAAAAATCGCCGATAACAAGATTAACAACAAAATACGGCTGCTGCCTCATTTCCACATGCGAATTTTCTGTACGCGCGTCGAACAAGCGAGGGAAGTATGGGGGGTGCTACCACGTTGTGGAAATAGTCACGCTCTTATGTGGGGGACAAGCGTTTTTTTTTTTTCTAGTTTTCCAGAAACCTGAGACACAATAGTGACGAATGACCTTTCGCGACAGCAAATCCTGTCTTTGTCGCTCGAAAATAGCATGCATGTGGTTGGGTCTTAAAGTTTTGTATTCGCAGGAAGCGATCGTCCGTCGGCACAGGCAGATTTGTGACCTTCACTCGCTTTTGCTCGCCGTGTGCTTATCAGCTGCGATGTCTTTGACTCCCATTCTTGAACCCCACTGTGGTGCACAAATAAAGAAGGCGGAGGACGTGCCGTACACAGATGGAAAGAAAAACAATTTGTCAGGCAGTAACAAGTGAAGGGTGGGAGGGAGCGAGCCTAAGTAGGCAGAGGGGGGTCGGCAAAATAATAAAAAAAACAGAATAGATTCAACAGGTGAGGAGGCGCCAAGGGTCGGTTAGCGGAACTGCAGCGGATGAATGTAGGGTGTGCATTTATTACACGAGGAAAAAAAATCTGAATTTGGACGACTGAAGTTGGGGGTGCATTTATTATGCGAGTGTGCTCATTATGCGAGTAAATACGGTATTACACGTAGGAACAAAGCCAACATGGAACAAGCACGACATGTTGTTTATTTTGTAAAATACAAGGACGAGAGACCACTAAAGGCCTCAAGTACTGGTTTGATAACAAGATTTCCACATTCCAAGGACATCACGCTGCCGTTGAAGTTAGAATCCTTGATATCATGTTAGGAGCACCACTGTCAGGCAGTGGTAGAGCCCACGTTCATTTCTCAAGCTACTGTGTGTTAAGTAGAACCTCATTGTAATGAAGCGGAATATGACGAACTAATGGATATAATGAAGCAATTGTAATTCCCCTTGAAATTCTCATAGACACCCATGTATTTAAAACCTTATTTTAACGAAGTGAAAATTTCCTCACAATAGATATAACGAACTATCCTTTGTCTACAATGAGCATTTACTGATCATTTTGGTATACATCAATTCAACATCTTATATATCTTATAGCGTGATGGTTTACGTATTATCATGGCTGCAGTTATTCATAACTCTCACCTTGCGCTTGCCGGGAGCCGCCTGCCAACACACGCGTGGGTGTGTCTCCCTGCCTCCCCTTTCCTCAGGAACTAATGGACTTGCCCGCGAAGCAACTCGCGCGAGCGTGCTTGTCAGCTGGCCTCCCCTCTCTTGTAGAACTCATTGACCCGCCCGCACATCTGACCTCCTCCTCCCCTTCAGCTCCGCACTGGGTTGGCGGAGATTGCGGCTATGTTCCTTGTCGTTCGCTATGGAAGAGCAATACCACCTCTATTAGTTTCACCACCCCAACACCAGATTGACAACAGCAGCGGCAAACTTAAGCGGAAAAATATAACAATCGAGCAGAAGTTGGCGATGTTGAAAGCCGTTGACTCCGGCATCGAGAAAAAAAAAATGTAGTCGAAGATTTCGGCGATGTTGCCAGTGAGGGTGCCGCGGGCGACCAGGCCCAGACGTTGTGGGACGCTCTCGTGGACGCCAGTGAGGGTGCCTAACTTTCTGCACATTTATCGGTGCTGATGCTGACGCAGTGACAACAAAAGAGTTGTCAGATGCGGAAATTGTGTGCGCGATGACGGGGGTGCATGACGACAGTCGACACCCCGGAGCCTAATGTTAGCGAACCCGACGTACCAACGCCTGCGCAAGCGCTCGATGCAATAGACTTGCTGTGATGCTTCTTTGGTGGTTACGATGACCACGAGGACGGACTCGAAATAGCTGCTAAAGATTAAAAAGCAGTCATCTGCATGAAGAAGAGACGATAAAAGTCTATTATGGACTATTTTCTTAGAAGTGATCATCCACCTGGTGTGCTTAATTTGGTGGAAATAAAGGTGCATTGTCCGTTATTATTTTTATAGTTTTTTTGCCTTCCGACGGCCCTTTTCTTTGCGCGGTGGCTGCTGTGATTATTCGGTAGTGAGTACCTTCTCTCTGCTGGCTGATTGTCGGTAGAAATGGATAATGGCTATAACTAAATAATGGTTATAATGAAGTAATTATTACTCCCCTTCAACTTCGTTATAAGGAGGTTTGACTCTATACCTATGCCAAAGTGCTCCTAATAGTAAGATTACCTGCTCCAAAATGCTCCAGAACTAAAATTTGACTGCCCCGAAATGCTCCTAATTGCCAGATTACCAGCTCCAAGATGCTCTTAATCGCAAGCTTACATGCTCCAAAATGCTCCTATACTAAAATTTCACTGCTTCAAAAATTGCTCCAAATCAGCAGTCCCCAGTGGGATCACTGTAGAATATTCACAATGCTACAAGCACTCGCATTTTAATATATGTCTGATATAGTTGTATACAGTGGACTCCTCTTATACGGAACTCGAAGGGGCAAGAAAATTTGTTCCATTTATGAGAAGTTTCATTTAAGCAAAGCCCACAAAGTTAATGAAATATGGCTTTATTTCAAGAGCACCAACTGTGGCTGACAGAAAAAAAAACTTTGCTAATAATAATGACTCGGAAAAAGGAGGTGATAACAGTTTGCTTGGCTTTGTTCAAAAATTTTATCACAAAGAGGGCATCGCCGAAAGGCCGGGCGGGAAATCTGTGCCACCATCGTGTTCAAAGTAGCGCTACAACGAGATGACAGCAACATCTCTTGCTGCACTGTCCGCCACTGCAATGGGCTCAGGATCACACACCATCTCATCACCACTTGAGCACGGGTCGTCATTTTGAACTTCAGCAATAAGTTCTTCAAGACTGTCCTCGCGGCACATGTGGCGACGTTTTTATCAAGTGTTTTATAGTCCACTCGCGTGAAAGAAGTAGACTGTGTCACCGGACTGAAGAGTGTATCAGCCTCCTTAGCCTCGGCAACACTGTCTTCTTCATTTGGAAGAACTTCTTGTCTTGAAAATCCTGCATGCTGGAAGCACCTTTGCATAGTTGACACTTCCATGCATTCCCAGGCATTGGTGAGATTGCGACAAGCTGAGAGCAAGTCCACATTGTAATCTTTCTTGTTGTCTGCACAAAGAAGCATTCGCTGGAGGACTTAGTGGCGACAGAGAACCTTCAAATTCTGAATTATAATTATGCCCTGGTTCATCCGTTGAATGATTGTAGTCGCATTTGGTGGCAGGAACTCTGGGCTGATCGATTTGAGTGTATAGACTTGACCGTGAGCAGGGCATTGATCAACAATAAGAATAATTTTCCTGTTCTTGGTAAATCTTCTATCCTCTGCACGCAACCATGTCTTGAAGATTGCTTGTGTCATCCAAGCTTTTCTGTTTGCGTGGTACGTGACAGGCAGCGTGCGCACATCTTTGAAGCAGCGCGAGTGCTTTGATTTCCCCACGACCGTCTTCAACTTTTCACTACCATCCATGTTGGCACCTACTAGCACCGTAATACGAATTTTGCTCCACTTTCCTCCCGCGCAGGTTTCACCCTTGTAAGCAAGAGTCTTAGTAGGGAGTGCTTTGTAAAACAACCCCATTTCATCAACATTAAACATGTCCCGTTGATCGTAGGCTTCCGAAATTTCTTGCAACCTCCCCTGTTGCCAGTGATACATATATCTATATTTACGCAATAACCACGGAATGAATTCACTGGAAAAGCTTATTGCCTCACGAATTCAATGCCGCAAAAATTTTTAGAATCGATCCAGTGCGAGTGGAGTTACAAAGGTTTGTCTCATGCTGCAATTGCATTCTCTCGTCCCGGTGAAAACGCTGGAAGCTAAGCAGGGAGTAATGGCAAGGCCACAGAAAAACTTCACACGCGCCTCGTGGCCCACAGAAAAACTTCACACGCGCCTCGTGGCCTTGAGTACTTTTTTTCTTTTTTTTTCTTCGAAAGCGCTGCTTTGTTGGTGTGATCACGCGTGGACAAGTCGCAGCCTCCCACGGTGATCTCTGTAACAAGCGAGCACGCCTTGTCCAAATCAACCAATGGCTGATAGATGGGTAATTCACATGTGATTTTTGGGCATATTCCGCCATTTGTCGAGAGAAGAAAGCAATTTTTAGCTGACTTTGGTAATTTATTGTGAATTCCAGGCCACGTGCTGTGCTATATTTGGCTCGCGTATTGTCAGCACCCTCTACTACCGATCGGCAGTGTTTTCAGGCCATGCTCAAAAGGTGTTGCAGGGCCCTTTTAAAGACAATACCATGCCGCTTTTTAAAATGGCTCAGCCAGCCATCGCTCACCCGGAAGGCCTCGATCCCCAACCGAGTAGCAACCTCTTTGGACTTTCTTCCAAAATGGGGCCGCTGATCGGGAAGTTCGCACCGTGCGCTCGCTTGAACCAGAGGAAAAGAACATCTTCGATTTTTTGTATGCCGTCTTTCTTATCCACATTCTGTCCGTAGCGAAGTTCCCAGCTTCTTCAATCTTCCCTTTGTTCTTGAGTATCCTCGACAGCATGGACTTGGGAATATTGAACTTTTTCGCAATATCCAGTTTCGAAAAGTTGTTGTGGTCAAGTTCTTGAATGATTTTTACTTTCGCTGCTAGTGCATTGTGCTGTTTTTTTTTTTTTCGTTCCATCTCAAGTTCACAATGAGCCTCGATCGCTGCGCGGCGTGCGCGGACATGTGCGATCGCTGGATTGGCTAGGCTAGCTTCGGCATATGTTTCATGGTTGCAAGACTGACGTGGCCACTTCCACTGTTCATGGATTTTTGCTCGTTTTAGTTTCATATAACCGATGTAAGCAAAAAAAAAATGTTCCAATTACCCAAAACCTTTATAATTAAATATATAGGAGACCAACCAAATGTGCCTAGATAATTTCGTTTATGCGACTTTTTTGTTTAACCGAGTTTCGTTTAATGGGAGTCCACTGTATTTGCACCTTACAAGCAGACTATTTTAGTGAAATGGGTGCGAGACTGACTTCTTAGTCGTAGTAACTGCTGCTGTGACAAATTTTATGTGTGACAGATCACATTTAGCACTTTCATGAGCTTTGACTTTATTTATATCTGCTTCGAAAATCAAAATGTTGCTTCCATCACTCTTGCTGATTCTTTACATGAATAATATGGGTAATTACTCAGTTCTTGTATTACTAATGTGGAAATAGAATTTATTGCTTTTCAGAAGGCCACTGTTGGGGTTTATTGTAGTTCCATGCCATGCTTTAGTGCAGTAACTAAATGTTTTTGTTGTTTTTTGTTAATGTATCTTTCTTTTTCAGGCCAACGGCATCAAGATTGGTCCCCAACATTCTCCGACCAGTCCCAGCATGCCGTCAAGTGGTGGTGGAGCAAGTGCCGGTGGTGGCTGCTGCTGAGCAGCATGCACCTTAAATGAAAAATGGCTCGCAGTGAGCGTTTTTTCTTTGCAAACACCGATACACACGTACATATATAATGTAAAAGTACATGTGTGCATGTGTGTGTACATACACAGAAGGTATCTATATACATGTACTATTAATAAGTCTCGATCGGTGTATACACAGCATGCAGAAGAAAATACTGGGACGCTTGGGAATGGGAAGGAAAAAGTATTTTCTCTTGTTTTTTTTTCTTGCAGCTCCCAGCACTTTTTTTTGCTTGTTTGATGTGTGCTTCAACTTTGCACCTACTTCTGTAAAAATTATCACTTGTGAGCTTCTGTATGAGTGTGCAGTCTCAGCCAAAAAAAAAAAAAAGGTATTTGCACTAATAGTGTCTTCTTGGCTGTGAGAAAAACTGTGACATCTTGGAAAAAATAAAGCCAAAGTTTCAAAGGGGCATGTGCAAAAACTGCTCATTTTATGTACATTTATGCCTTGCTTTTCTAGGGTGCATTCCCAAGTAGAAAATGTTCAGCCTCTGCTTCTCAATTGCTCCTTTGCTAGTGCTGTTGCAGAACCTTACACTCACTTTTTTTTTCTCTCTCTCCTTTTTCCAAAACAGTTCTTTGTTTGATCTGAGTCACTATTTTTTGTGATGCAGTACTAGTCATAAACATTCCCCACTCTCTACTAGTTTATTGTGCGACATGGAATTGGGTCAAGAACTGCTTTTATGTCCAGCATACAGGCGGCAGCCTTTCATGGTCCATGAACTTCTTGTGAGCTGATGCAGGAAGCACAAAAATTTGTTGTCTTTGCTATTTATACTTTATGCTTGCCAAGTGTACATATTGTTTTTCAATTGCAAAGATTCGATAAAGGCTTGTGTGACTGTGCTACATGACGCTCTTCGAAGGTAGCTTGGGCGATTGTTGCAGTGAGTTGAAAAGAAAGTTTTTATGAAAAGTGTGTGATGTATCGGTACTGGCGTTTTTTCCCGTGCTTAATCCTGTTAGCTGGCATACTTGTCTGTTTGGAATAAATTGGTTTTAACCTAAGACTTTACCTGTTCATGAGCCATTGATGCCTGAACCATGCTGCAGAAACTTTGTTTTGCCTATTGGCCATTTCAATTGCATATGGCAGCACTTTCTGGAATACTGCTTTACCCTGTAGTTGAACAGTTTCTGTAGTTATATAGAGCTCCATTTTTCTCACCAGCTCCTTGGCAAAAATCATGCAAAAATGTAGTGAACATGAAAGTTTCCCCTTGAAACAGAATCATTAGGTATGCATCAGTGCTGTTATAAAAATGGTTGTTGTTTCGCTGAATCACTTAGTCCTTTTAGAACATGAAATGTGCACAGCCCTTTTACACAAACAAGACTGCGTAGGTAATTTTTTACTTGGAAAAGACTCGTGATAATGCATTCATATATGGTACCATATCTCGAAACATTTGGCTGACCTTGAGATTCAGGGCAAAATGCAAAACCACCTTTACTTAAATGCTTGATTGAACATCTCGGGTACGTCTCTACACATTGCTATCAGATGCATTAAGAAAAGTGTGTACCTTTGGGCTGTATTTCATTTTAGTTCAACACTATGATCAGTGGCCGGCACATGCAGCCCTGCTTCTCTCGGCTATGTGCACTAAAAACGACGGCGTTGTGTGGGTACTTTGATGTTGACATAAGGTGCAGCATCTTCGATTGCCTCACATTGCTGCACATAAGAGCTTAGCCTTTCTCCGTGCACGAAAGTGTTTGAAATAAAGTTATCTCTGCTGATTCAGCCACTGTATAAAAGGTCAGAAAGTTGGTTTTGTTTGAAGGACCAGTAAACAAGCCCGAGCTCCAAAAATCAAGAGAAATATGCGCACTTCTGTTATGTGAACATGTTGCCACAAAAATGTTGCGAATGCATGCTATAAGGAAGTTACAGTGGTTAGAATTCGTTTCAGTGGTTTTCAAATTTTCGCACGGCCTCTCCAGCCTTTTCTGCCAGCGGAAAGGGAAAGGCGTAGCCCGTGACTCTGCCCATTTCGGCAACGGGACACGACATCAGCGGTAGTCATCAGCACGCAGCCAACGACGAGCAGAGCATCCTGGACATGAGCACGTGTCATAGCGGCGCAGGGAAAGAAAGAAAGCACAGTTCAAGGAGCACCCCTCCCCTAGCGGTAGCGCAACGCCTCTTTATCTCTGAGGCTTTGGTTCTGGCAATACTGTTTCTCCCGGTAGTTTCGGGCTCTACAAAACTGCAGAGGGCAGCAAAGGTAAATGGAAATGCGAACTGTGTGGCGGAAACTGCATTGCCGCAGGGGGCTAAGGTGGAGTTTCGCAGGACAGAGGACCAATTGACGAGCTCGGTGGTACATAAAGTTGCTCATGGGCAAGCTTTCATCACTGTGTGTGTACGAGGAGGATTACTATGCCGAAGGCATAGAGTTTCATACAGTTTCATACAATAATACTGTGAAACTCGATGGGCGAAGGAAACAAGCACTTGATTGTTTTTCGAAATGGAGAGAGTCTGCGTGGCGGGCAGTGCTGTAATATTTTAAAAATGTGATCGCTATGGTCTACCGTACCAGTTGGCGAGCTTTGCAGGGTGGAAAAAAAGGCTGAAGCCTGTTTACTGGCCCTAAGGGAACGTAAGCCCGCACAAGTGGCAGGGGAGACCTATGCGACTCTTTTATTTGTGCTGTTTAGAATTTACATGGCATTAATAATATATATATATATATATATTATATTTACTCGCATAATGAACACACTTTTTCTCGAAAAATCGGAGCAAAGTTGGGGGTGCGTTTACTACACGGGGTAAATTTTATGAAAACTCTTTCAGGAGAAGGAAAAAAATGTGGTAATGCAAAAAAGGTTAGGTCTCTTAGCCTTTCACAATTTATATACTCGTACACTGTTGGGAAACTGCTTCTTTGTTGCACTTTACTCATCTTCGGTAGTTGATGGCGCTATCTTCTGCTAGCTGTCATATTTCGGAAAATAGGGTACTGTGTATGAAAAATGGGGCACTGTGGAATTACAATAGGTATGATGTTGTGAGAGGAATATGGAAGGGGTCATGGCTCCTGGTCTGATGTTCGGCGATGCGGTCTTGTGCATGAGATCAGAAGTTCAAGCAAGATTAGAAATTAAGCAACGTGGAATAGGTAGGCTTGCTTTAGGAGCTCACGGGAATTCACCAAATCAGAGAGTACAAGGTGATATGGGGTGGACATCATTTGAGGGCAGGAAAGCTAGCAGCAAGATAAAATTTAAGAATCGATTGAAAGAAATGGAGGAGGAGCGTTGGGCTAGGAAGGTTTTCAGCTACTTGTACATGAATGTCGATACAAAATGGAGGAAGCAAACCAGAAAATTGGTGGGTAAATACTTAGAAAACAGCAGGGGCCAAACCAAAAAGAACTATTGGTTAAGAAGAAGGAAACGGAGACTGACATGTGGAGAATTAGCTTGATTAAGTAGTCCGCACTAGATATCTATCGAACTTTTAAGCAGGAAATTGCCAAGGAAAGGATTTATGATCGTACTCGGGGTAGTTCTCTACTGTTTGAGGCCAGGACAGGAGTATTGCGAACCAAGAATTATCGGGCCAAACACAGTATGCAGTGCGTGTGGAGAGGTGGAGGGAACTGCTGAACACTTCATAATGTTCTGTAAAGGGCTTCACCCTGTAGTCCAGGATGATGGCGCAGAGTTTTTGAAAGCACTGCGGTTTAAGGACAGGGAGGGCAAAATAGACTTTAAACGGGTAGAATTAACTAGAAAGAGGTTATATGATTGGTGGCTAAAGTCAAGGCACGAGTGAAAATTAAACCATTCACTGCAAAGTACCAGTCCTATACTTCACTATTTAAAGAAAAAAAAAAGAAATCTAGTTGGTTCACTAAGTATTACGGCTAGGTGGCGTTAGCCGCCGCCCGATCTAAAGGGTACAGCCACATCAATCCATCCATCGTCCCTGAGCCGCCCGCGCACGCCATAAAAACGCTTTGCGACTAGAGAGGTCTAGAATACCATTTACAAGCGCTGCGGGCGTAGCGGGCGCCATATGAGTTTCAGAATAGCGTTTGCCCTGCTGCGATCTGCAACGCACGATCGCAGCGACACCGTAGCCTCGAAACCAGTGCTCGCAGGCCACATGCGGACCGCCATGGCGCCATCACCACCCGTAGCCTCGAAACCAACCAGCGCTTGCGGGCCGCCATTACCGCACGCAATTTCGGATTTTTTGCGTGCGGTCCGCGAACGCGAACGCCGACTCGCGTTACGATGCATGCGCAGTGGCAGCGACCGCACCGCAAGGGCTCGCAGTGCGCTATTCTAAAACTTTTTACTATCTCTTCTCGCATTCGTTTAACAGCAACAGTGGTTTCTGCTGTGTTATATAGGGGCGCCCAAACGCGTGCACTCATGGGGGAACGGGGAATGAAGGGGCAGTTACGGTGAAGGAAAAAGAAGGTAGGCTAAAAAAAGGGGGGGGGGGGGGGTCGCAGGAAGCGACCGACGTCGGCAGGCGCGGGCAGTTTGGTGACCTTCGCTCGCTGTGGTGCACAGATAAGACGGGCACAGATAGAAAGAAAAGCAATAAGCACGCGGCTAGGGTGGAAGGGGGGGGGGGGGGGGGAGGGAGCGAGCCGAGGTGGTTGAGGGGGACGGAAAAGTAATAAATAACGGAAGAGCGCCAACGGGTGAGGAGGCACGAGGTTTCGGTTAGCGTGACTGCAGCGGATGAATGTAGGGGATACGTTTATTACGCAGGGAGGGGGGGGGGGGGGGGGTCCGAATTTCGATGACTGAAATTGGGAGTGCGTTTATTATGCGAGTGCGTTCATTACGCGAGTAAATACTAAATGTGCAAGAGGGCCGCCTAGGCTGGTAGCTCCGACAAAGTGAAACAACCGCCAGCCGTTGAAAAACAAAGGATTCCTCTGGCCACTGAGGCTAAAACATGTGCGCTACAGAACACCTACCAGTTGTGCGCCTCCTGATTTCCAATGAGGCCTCCTTAAGCCCCGTACTGCGCACACGCATGTCTTGATCATTTTCGGGAATTCGAGCCCTGCCACAAATGGGCCAGTGCAACACCTTATCAAGTCAGCTTGTGTGAGGTGACAGCAAAGTGGCTATTTTGTGGTCAGCCCCATCCCGCCAAGAGGGCAGGGATGTCAAAATTACACCCTGACGAATGTTGCCGTGTAACTACTACAGACTAAGTTCCTACAGCGGTTAAATGACCTCCGTTAACAGCCGTACACCCCAAGGAGATTTAAATAATTACTTTAACCTCCTTGGTACACCCTTACGTGTTCTCTTTGCCTTGATGACCTCTAAATTGCATTCCATGCATCTAGCGTGGAGTGTAAAAGGCAGGTTCATGTCTCTCTTAAGAAGTTGACACAGCTAAAAAAGTAGCATTAGCTTTTCTTTGGAAAAAAGCATGCCGTGGTATTCTCCAAGGGGGTAGGCTTAACTGAATACCATTCTGAAACTAAACAAAATAAGGCTGCTAGTTAAAAAAAGAACACGAAGTCTCCAGGAATTACTGAATAAGAAGCTAGGTATTACGCGCATCAAATGTCAGAGAATTAAAACAAGACACTGTGGTTCAAAACATGCCTGGAAGCTCTGGGTGCCGATAGCAAGTGCCTCATACGCGTCAATCGTTTCTTGGTAAGACTCCAGTTGAAGTCTAATGAACTTGCATGGAAATGCTGAAGCAGGCAGCTCGTTGTTGCATACGCCCTCGGTATTTGTGCAGGGGGGGGGGGGGGGGGGGGGGGGTGAAAAGTCGCCAGGCTACGCTGCCATAGAAATGCATGAACTAATGGTCTGTGAACTTTTGGGCAGCCCTGTACATGTCCAGGTCTTGTGTGCCATAACATTATCACTCACTGAAACAAATTATACTGCACAAACAAGCTCATACTTTGATTTGAAAGCTGCGAGTGCAATGTCCCTACCAAAGCCCTCGCTTTGGTAGGGACATTGCCAACAAAATTAGCCCTGCAAAATGATATTTCATGTTTCATTGCATTATTTTATTTCGATATTTCATTATTGAATTTTGCATAGAATCGCCGGGAAAAGAGGAACCACATGACTGTTTCACAGGAATTTTGCGCACAGTGCAGAAGTCGCCATCTACCAGAAGCGCAACGCAAGCGATGCACTTCCGATAGATGGCAACTGCGCCTCCAATGTATATGTGGCACTGCAATAATCTAGCATGCCTTGATGCACATCGAGGCATCCTGCAATAATCGGTGCCATTGGTGGATCGTGAAAGAGGGCCCAGCAAGTTCACTAATGTCTCGATTTTTTTATCTACAAAAAAGGAAACATCTAGGCTTATTTTTTTTTTGGGGGGGCGGGGAAGGAACTGATACATGACTTTTGGAGCTCTTTTTTTTTACAATAGGTAGCTTATGACCCACTCATCACGGCTGGGAACCTCGTTTGCACGAGTGCCTGACAATTATTTATTTGCAGACGTCTTAGAACGTCCAATCACAGTTACGGTTACAAAGAGCACCGAGTTGGGCAGAAGCAGTTCAGGGACCAAGGCACAGTGGTGGTGCGCGCGAGAGTGGGCGCCGCACTGGCTGCACACTTGAAGCCGCACACGGAGGAGAAAATCAAATGTAGCGCAAGCGCAAAGCGCGTTCAGTAACACTGGTATGAGGCATTGGAAGCCCGACTCGCATGCGTTACGTTGCCCAGTCGTGTAGGCTGTAGAGTTAGAGCACTAAATAAACTAGTTTTATTATTCATATTTACAGCATACATGTACTCATAGGCGTGCGCCCTTCAAGAGGGCGAAGATTGAAGTAACTAGAAGAATAAGAATGGCGTAGAGCACATTTGGCAAGCATTCTCAAATCTTCACGGGTAGATTGCCACTATCCCTCAAGAGGAAGGTATATAACAGCTGCATCCTGCTGGTACTTAGATACAGAGCGAAGACCTGGAGAATTACAAAGTGGGTTCAGCTTAAATTGAGGACAACGCAGCGAGAAATGGAAAGGAAAATGGTATGTGTAACATTAAGAGACAAGAAGAGAGCAGAGTGGATCAGTGAACAAACTGGGGTTAAGGATATCATAGTTGAAATCAAGAATAGAAAACTTAATGGGCATGGAGCGGGTACACAAGATAACCGCTGGTCATTAAGGGTAACTAACTGAATTCCCAGAGAAGGCAAGCGGGTTAGGGGAAGACAGAAAGTTAGATGGGCAGATGAGATTCAGAAGTTAAGATACTTCGGCACACTGTGTTCTCAATCCAGAGTCTATGCCTAGTTGTAATCACGTTATAGCACCACTTAGCATTTTTTCCTACAGCACCCATTTCTTGGTGCACGCAACGAAAACAACAATTTTCACAGTAATTCTTCCGTTCAGACGGAAGTCTGGCCATCCTAAGCTAAATTATGAAGACTTTTTTACGGTTCATTAACTTTCTACAGTTATGAAACTTTTCACTTAGTATCTCGAGAGATTTGCGTCGCGCAATTGAGAAGTAATCACCAACACCAGGCCCGTGACCCCGCCCCAATTTTTTCCACCAAGGCTTAGGGAGCGAGAAATGACCATTTCAAAGGGGTGCCCCTCCCGAAATCAAGGATGCCCCTCCCCCCGCCCCACCTACCGCAAAAAATAATTCTGGTTACACGCGCCTGCCAGCTAAAGAGCGGGTACGCGGCGGGCGCAGAAAAAGGAGACACGGGGAGGTGGAGAAGGCGAGTCCTTACCGCGACGTCATATCGCCGCAACCGCAGCGACGCCAGCGTTCATTCTCGGGGCTAATAGTGCACTTCCACCAGGTCTTGGAGAAAGGGCTTTTTGATTTCTGCTTCTATCTGGCATTACTGGCAGTGCTCCCCTTATTTGCTGGAGCAGATGTCTCAGCAGGAACGTCAGCTTCAGATAGTCATTTCTTTTAAAGACGATAGTCTTTCTTGGGGACCTTCGACGCCAAAATTTTCGTCTGTCTGTCTGTCTGTCTGTACATTTGTCTGTTTTTCCGCGCTAACAATACGCCAAACAGCATCAAATGATACTTCAGACGGCCAACTCCATCCGCAGCGCCCACCAATATAGCTCAAGTTACAACGTTCATAGTTGTTCGACAGTCAATTAAAAATCAATTATTGCGAATATCTGAGGCACTATAACAACACGTTGATATTTTGTATGAGCGCCTCTATTAGACAAGGCACACATAAGTAATTCTGGGGACCATGGCGTTTATCACGCTGCGCTGACTGCAACGCGATGCCGTAAAAGGCAAGTGTTTCCAACGCTTTGCTAAAATGACACGGTGGTGGCACCTACCCGTCGCTTTGCGTTCTACATCTTATCGCCTCTAAGACAGGCGCGCATCTTTCTCCGTGCGCGCGCACGCCTTCTTTCGTTTTCGAAGATGACTGCAAGATAGCGCTCGTGTCTAACGTGCCTCGATGCGCTCGTTCGCCTTCGCTGCACTGATCGAGACTCTATATAACGCAGAATTTCCAGAATACAATTCACTGATTTTCTCGCGAAGAACATCAAATAAACGTTTTGTTCACTCTCTCCACACGTAAGACTCTCGTCTTTCGACGATAATTGCAGTGAAAAATGCAGATACAGGGCCATTTCTTTTTTCATTTATACATACTGCAGGCTACATTTTGGCCCAAGGAGGAGTGGTGACAAAAAAGTACATGTAGACGAGTGGCATAAATGGACACAGGGTCGATCAAAAAGAAAGACAAGTAAAAAATTCAAGAAGTGTTAAACATACAGCGTTGCTTTCCGTATACGCATAAGCTGAAAGAGATTCAAAGTAAATTATGCAACATTGGATTGCGAACATTTCACACACCAAAGTTCATATTAGCAATAATATTAACAAAGGAGACTATACTGAGGCAGCGGAAACCACAGTTTCGGGTAATTTATTCCAACAGTCAATGGCAGCTGGAAATAATGACTGCTTGCGTGAGTTTATGCGGCTTATATATTGTCTCAACATTTTACTGTGACCCGCTCGAAAATACAGTCTTGTGAGAGAATGTTAGCATGTAGAGCGATTTATTCTGAAGCAGCCATAATAGAGATAAAGAAACTTCGACCTCGATATTAGCCTGCCTTGACCTAGCGTCTGTAGGTTAGCTTCCAGAATCAAAGGGCTAACGCTGCTCCTCCCTTAATATTCAGAAAAAGCGAACCGCTTGTCGTAGTATTCGTTCCAGTTTATCAATTATATATTTCTGGTGTGACCTCCAAATTGAATCCGCATACTCTAGGCTAGGTCACACTGAACATTTATATGCTTTTAGTTAGACGGATGTTGGTGCTCAACTCAGTTTTTTTTTTAGCATTGTGAGTTTACCATGAGCTTTCCGACAGATGTCATTAAATTCTCGAACTCTTGCAGTCATAACGACATACACTCATCAAAATTGAACAGATCGTCCCGGAATAGTCTCCCGTCTTGTAGTGCTTCTAGTGTTCAACTTCACAATGCTGTGTCATAACAAATGACAACTGTGTGTTCCGTTTGGCTTCTGCTTGAGCGCAAATGTGCGTGCGCGCGACATGCGCGTAAAGCAAACCAACCACGCATATTCACCTTAGAATGATATAAGAGTCACAAGAGTAACGATTCTCGATGAACCAGCAGAGACGCAAGTCTTTGAGAACGGAGAGCGTCGTGACATGTTCGTGCCAGGTCAATTCGTTCAAGTTCTACCTCGCATAGCAAGACAAAAAATAATGGAGTTAAAAAAAACACGCAGTCTCCTTCGCTCATTCCACAGAGTGATCCACTTCAAGATCTGGTCGCTCCAGTTGTAGGTGTTGTACTGCATCTTGAGTCACCATGCACGATGTAACGTTCACGTACTTCAGCGACGGGCACTGTGCTACACGAAGAAGTGTTCCGTCGGTGACGTATCTGCATCCTCCTATGTCGAGTTGCCTTAGCCTCGATGAAGGCCTGAGGACCGGTGTCAGCGAGTCATCATCCAACTATAAGAGCAAAAGAAAAAAAGAATGGCATCAAATAATGCGTACACTTACGTACACACAGGTGACGGGAACCCATCTCGCGCTCTTTTCTCGCTAACAAAATTGTGGCACCGTCTCCTAAATTAGGTGCCCCACAGGCACGCGGTGCAAATCAGCGCTCGCCTGTCATTGTGATCTGTAGGTGCTGCCGGGGTTGAGTAAGCTCCCAACATTTAACCTGCAACGTTTTGTGTTTAAATGTAAACACTTTGACAGATACAATGGCGGATCCAGAGGGGGCGCGGAGGGGTGGTAGGGGGGATATCGCCCATTCACCAAAGGCTGTGTCAGCCCCAAACCCCTTCCCTTCAGTGCATTTCGCCACCGATTAATGAGGACTACTGTGGGCACAAATTAACAGTATGTTGTAATTGAGCTCTTATGATGATAGTAACTACAAAAAACAAAAGAGCCAGAACCCCTCTGAGCCCCTTAAGATGACTGGCTGTATGGATATACATCTGGCTGGGTTAACTAATTCAATATGCGGAAACTTTACTCCTGTAGCGGACTCGGCGTTTTGCCCCACGAGGGGCCCTTGAGGTGAAATAAATGATGACGATGAAGGATGAAACGACAAATGACTGCAGTGTCGTAGAAGCAGGGGTTACAGAAAAGCGGGCGTCATGGTAACTGGCAAAACGTCGCGAACACGCGTCGACGCTCGTCTGATTGATTCCTCGGCCGAAGGTTAGACCTTCTAAGTCGACACTTTTTCGATATGTGATAGTAGCCACCCCTGTGTCACTGTTTCTGCCTCAGTCTCTCATTTTTTTTTTTCTAGTTCCTTCTTCCAATGTAACCTATCTATACACGGTGACAACTTTTCTCGGCACTGAAGGGAAAGCTACGGAGGCGGAGCTTCTGCACATGTAGCACTACGCGAAGTAGTCCATTCTGGCGCACGTCTCGTAACGTTGTGGAAAGCAACGGGGGCGCACCATCAGCGTTTCGTGTAGACGCAGACGCCGCACAGCGTTTGAGGTGGACGTAAAAAGGCGGGACTTTTCAAAAACGCGAAGTCACAACAGATAAATTAAAAGAAATATGAATATCTTTATGGTGTGAGCTGCGTCCACTCTTCAATAGCTCCACATAGAAAATAAAGGAGGAAGATTTATATTTCACGTTGAAAATACAGGCGCTACGTTAGAACCACCTTCACTGGCGGTAGGATGCACGCGATTTGGCTCCGTAGCTTTCCCTTCAGTGCCAAGAAACGTTGTCGCCGAGTATAGCCGCCTACGTCTGGGTGCTCTCGCGATTACCTCCTTAACTTACCCTCACATACTAATTTTCATTCACCCCTATAGAAGTAAATCAAAATTAGTATGTGAGGGCAAGAGGCCTCGACGATTATGTATGGCTGGTAATGGCTTGATTAACGTGAAAATTCTATCGTGTACGTCGTCAAACACTTTCCTCAAAACACATGTGGCACGTATACGACAGGCCGCGGTATGCGCGCCACAGGTGATTGACAGTTAATATCTACCCAGGAACTGCCAGAAGATACATTCGTAATATAAATGCAAGAGTATAGTAGAAGAAGCTGACATTGGTGGCGTTGACCTGGTGAATAAAAATAATAAATAACAGGGTTCCAGCAGTAGGAATTGAACCCAAGCATTCTGCATGGCAATAAAGTATTCTACAACAGAGCCATGCCAGGTCTCATAACTCCTAGTAAAAAGACACCATGCAGGCGTAATGTTGGTGAAACGTCAATTGTGGTTGCAGTGCTGGCTATCTAATTTTATAAACATTAGATAAGTACTCCTACGATACTGGCGTCACGCCGTTTTAAGGTCGATTGTATTATTAAGCGCTACAAATTGAAGTTGGTATATACATAACACTAGCCAGGGCTATACCTTACTCGCAAGCAGAAGCGCAGCATTGCTTACTGCTTCTGGTGTTGGTAATACCATGTTGCTATTGGCGTCGTTTGGTGTATGGTTATATAAAACTTATGCGACTGTTCAGCGTTGTGTGTGTGCATACAGCATTTATACATCTTTAAAAATGCACCACGATCACCTTTTCTGCTTATATGCTTCGCTTGACATCGATTTTCATGGTACGTGGGGTCTGCCGAATTTATTAATTTTTGGTTTTAACCGACTACGTTTCCGAAAGTGGTATTTTTATGCAGGTTATAATTTCTTTGTGTAGTTGGTCTAGTCGATGATCATGCTAGAGCACTCTAGTATGCTTTACTTCTTTCCACCCATGCAGGGTACGATGATGTGCGTGAGAACTCTTGTACAGCAAGTTCGCACAAAAGTGGACGGCAACAATATAGCCATGAGCTGATGTATTCTCTGGCGCGTCATATTTAAATATAGTTACCTGCGTGAATCAAAGTATAACTTTAGTGCAAAACAGGTGAGACGAAGGAAGAGAAGCTCACGGGAGGATCGCTGCAATGACATGGCCTGAAGGACAGCACTTGTCCCGTGGGCGTCCCTTATTCTGTTCCACCTGTTTTTGCGCTAAAGTTATTCTGAACTTCACCAACTAGCATGTATTTCAAAGCGTCTGCAGTGTATTTGTCTACCTACCTGCACGCAGCAGCGCAGAACTAACTTCGACAGGCTGGGGCAGTGCAAGGCAATGTGTTTCAGCGACGCAGACGTGAGAAGGGGGCAGTGCCCGAGGTCCAGAAACGCCAGTTCACGAAAGAACATTGCGGCCAGCACGCCTGCGTCGGAAATGAGGGAGCAGCCTCCAAGGCATAGCTCTTTGAGACCGCCGAGGCTAGCCATGGAGGTGGGCAGGCCCGATTTCATGTTGCTTGGATGGTGCAAGGCGGCGTTAGTGAGACTTGGACAACGTCCCATACGCAGCACTCTGAGGAGGCGCAGGTGGGTCCAGATAGCTCGCACTGCCTCATCAGTAAGTAGCATCGTGTGGGACACGTCAAGGGATACGAGTGTCGGCATATGCTCACTCAGGCACTTTACCACGTTTGCTGCTATTCTGCAAGAGCTGATGTTCAAAGCTTGTATGTCTGGCCATGGCCTGGAGGAAAGGAACCGCACCACAGTTCCTTCTTCACTGAGAATACAATTTGAGAAATCGGCGCACTGAAGTTTCTTTAGGTGCACTAAGTTAGCGAATCCCATGGAACTTACAGTGCAATTGGACATGTCCAGTTGTTCAAGTGCCCTAAGACTTTCGCACACGATTTCCAGACAGTCGTCACCAAGCAGTGGGTTGGATCCGAGATTCAAGCACGTCAGCTTGGGTGTATTGGTGCATAAAGCTGTCACGCCCTGCACTCCTGACAGGACACAGGAAGCTGCGTGGAACTCTCGCAGAGTCTTCGAAAAGGTGGCAGAAAGCTTAGCGATACATCTATTGTCGATTATGGTTCGGCTCAGGTTCAGTACTTGAATTGGTGCGTTTTCTATTGTTTTCAACACTTCTTGCAGGGTGAACACTAGTGGGCTGTGCACTTGCCCAGGCGGGTAAAAACGTCGGTGCACCGCGTCGTGCACGCTGAGCCGGCAGCCTTCCAATGACAGGGCGCGCACTTTTCCTGTCACAGTCATTATTTCGTGGAAAACCGCATCTGTGAGGTAAGTATTTGAAAGATCTACTGAAATGATGCCGGACGTCTCACGCAAAAAAAAATTATGCGGAGCGTGGTCAGCAATGCCGGGCTCGCCAATTGACTCCAGTTTGTCACAATGAATGACTGCTAGGTGTACCAGCCTTCGACATTTCTCAAGTACCGAAACGAAGTCTGTCCAGCAGATCGAGCAATGTATCAATTCCAGGCTCTTGAGCGTATGCCCTACTTTCTGCCAAAACTCGGCATCCGTGTCTAGCGCACAGTTCTTGATAACCAAGCGAGTCACGATTGAGTTGGAGTGCAAAAGCACTAGCATCCTCTCTTTGACATTTTTCTCCAGCGTGACTACTGTGTCTTTGTATATTCGGCTGTCGACGGCTGACGTGTACCACGTTTTACACGTCATTCCCGCTGCTAGCCTGTCGGAAACATCCAGGTATGAGAAGATGCGGCACAGGATCTGCATGTGAAAAGAAGAACACCATGTTTGGTATTGCAAGATATAATACGACATAGTAAACGTGTCTGATCCGACTGGCCAGATGGCGCTGCTTTCATGGTTAGCACAGGCAAAACAACACTAGTTATTTTAGTGTTCAGTTTTGTCTTGATTTGTGACAATCTTCGCAATTATCTAGGCAGAAGCTACACTTGGGACCACATATTTTCTCACATTCCCATTCTCTCTACACAGTTCCCTTCGTGTACTATATATATATATATATATATATATATATATATATATATATATATATATATATATATATATATATATATATATATATATATATGCACGCTACACATTACTCTGACCGATATTTATGAAAAAACACAAAGCCAAACACGCGCTTTAGCTGCTGTATATATATTAGTGACACTCATGTGTACTTAAGCCGGTATTTTTTTTTCATTGCTAAGAAATAACTTTTTAGTTAATTTTAATTTGTCAGCCCTAATTTGCCAGCCTCGCAGTAAAACACATCTGCTGCTGAAACCTGCCTGGTTGCTTCTCACGAGAATAAACAAAGACGCACGAGACACACCAGTTGTGAAATAAACGCACGATCACGCCGCTGCGAGTGAACGCGCCCGCCTGGGTGGATCAGTGGCTGCTGACCCGGAGGCCGCACTCGTCAATTCGATCCCGGCGGTCGCATTTCGATGAAGGCGAAACGGAAGCCCGTACGTGTACTGTGCGATGTCAGTGAACGGTGTAAAGAACACCAGATGGTCGAAATTGCACGTGCCCTCCACTGCGGCGTCTCTCATATAGTCATATCTTGGTTTCGGGACGTCAAACGACCGAACGGAGCCGAGTATAGCAACGAAAGCACGCTTGATAGCGTACGTGAGGGCGCATCTATTTCATATTTGGCATGTTTCGCACGTATTTGTTTTCTCTCGGAAAAAGCAACCAGAGAAACTTCATCACAAAACAAATGCTTGATTATTAGCTCATTTGAGGCAGCCTACAACCCAAAAATAATATTTTACAAATTAAAGCAAGAATTGGCTAACAAAGTTGAATGAATAATTAGTACGTATTAATGAAAATATACAAGCATACACAACAAAATACAAATTAAATCGCAGGAAAAGCACGTGAGATAAATGACGATCGTAGTTGTGGGACTGAAAAACGCCTTAAATACGCCATTCCTATATATAGTCTCTCTAATTTATAGCGTAGCTAAGTGATTGAACTTGCGTTGGCATAAGAACATACATATAGTACAGTGAAAAGACTGACACATATTGCAAGCGATAAATGCACGTCACATTTATCAAAACGACACGCACCTCTGTGGGGAGTGATCCGCATAGTCCTGCATCTTCGTTGTAGGCCATGGTGCCAGTGGTTGGGCCCGTGTTGTCAAAGCCAAGCACTTGATCCACGTTAAGGACAATCTCAGGGGACAAGGACGGCTTACGTCGCTGACAGAAAATGCACTTGAAGGGTGACGACGTAAGTGAAACCCGCGACAGCGCCAAAAGGACTCAACCTGTCGGGCGAGGCCGACTTGGCAACGCTCCACATGCGGCGCAGCAAACCCCGGCGCCGTCCCTCGATGCAGCCCACGGAGGTAGAAAAGGCCGCTTTCGGCAGGGCGCAGCCGCTTTCGGCAGGGCGAGCAGGGGAGCCCTCTCTGGTGCGTCACAGCGATGGTGTAGAACGACGTGGAGCAAAAGGGTGCTCCTGGAATGTTCAGCCGCGCAAACTTTAGGCTTGTTGAGGCACTTATCGACGAGCGGTGGCTGTTCAATCAACGGCTCAAATCACGGACGCCGAGCGCGAGTGGCGTTCACGAGCAAAAACAGACCCATTATAGATGGCGCTAGAGTGGATACCCCACTAAGGTCACTGTATGCCCCACTGTAGTGCTACTCCTCGCCACACACTGTGCACTTGAAATGTATTTGTGGCAGTGGCGTAGCCAGGGGAGGGGGGGTTCAACCCCCCCCCCCATTTTTCGTCCATCATCCCCCCCCCCCCCCCACTGCCACTTACTGAACCTATTTTTTTTTTTCGTCGCTTCGCGCTGACATGATTTAGAAACTAAGTGCTGCTACTATCAATATCATTGCTGGGCGCTTTTACAATGAATAATATCTGCATACGGAAAAACGTGTCGCGGCGTTTCTGAAGTCATAGTATTCTGTGAGATTTTGGCGAGGAATCCGGCCGCGAGCGCTTCAAGTTGGCTCGGTGACGGGATTGATGCTCAAGCGGTGGTGATACTTGTACCCACCGGAACAGATCTTGCCAGAGTCGATCACTACAATAATTTGCAATAGGGAGAGGTTTGTTTTAATGGAAACAGTCAGGCACAGTTTCAAGGTCTGATAGGCCACATTCAAGCATAATACAGTGTGACTCTTCGTACGTGGGCCAAGATATACTCAAACCAAAGAATAACATGTCTATTTAACCTTCGCACGTCCTGCTAACATCTAAACACACACACACACACACACACACACACACACACACACACACACACACACACACACACACACACACACACACACACACACGCACGCACGCACGCACGCACGCACGCGTGCTACAGATTATTTGGTTTATACACATATCTTTATCGAGGTCCGTCATCCGGACACGAATGCATAACTGCAGTTCATGACTTCATGCAGCGTCATGTTCGCAACTCTCGTGTCCTGCTTATGGGAGATTTTAATCTCCCAGACATTGACTGGACTACGCTAAACCACACATCATCTGCCTCGGACGCTCTTATAAACATAATGTTGAACTTTAGCCTTCAGCAAATCGTGTTATCTCCAACCCGCTTACAGAACACTACCGAGAGCATATTAGATCTGATATTGATTAGTCAGCACTTCCCGGAAGACCGTGTTCGCACTGACGTAGTTGACGGCATATCAGACCATCACATAGTCATATGCTTGCTGCCGCTTGACTCCAGTATTGCATGTGAGCAGCATGGATCAACTGTAATTGATTTCAAAAAAGCTGACGATAGCAGCGTATTAACCCATCTCGCCCATGAGTTCGAAAACTTTTTGCAGCTAGCTTTTGACGCATCCAGTGATACTAATCTACTTTGGCTAAGTTTCAAATCTACTGTTATGTACTGTGTCACTAACTTCATACCAAAGAAACACAAGAAAGCTCCAGGGAATAATCCTTGGATAACACGTGAGGTTATCCAGGCCAAGCGTAGGTTAGAAAGGTTGCGTGTGGCTGCGAAAAACCATAAGTGTAAATCATCCATTCAACAGAAGCTGCAGTGTGCAAAATCAGAGTTTAAGCAAAAAAAGAAAACTGCCAGACAATATTATTTTAGTGTTACACTTCCAAGCTTTATTAAAAGCAATCCAAGCAAATTTTGGAGATACCTTCGCACTAGCAATAATACACAGTCGCACACGGATTCAGGGGAAAGAACGGAAAAGGCTAACGAATACAACATTTTTTTCCAATCAGTGTTCACGACTGATAAGGGTGCCACTCCTCCAGTATTATCCCTCGATTCGCCAAGCATCGATCACCTAGAAGTCACAGATACAGGAATTCTGAACTTGCTTCTTAACTTAGATCCTAAAAAATCGAGTGGTCCAGATCATATTCCTTACGAGTTCCTTAAGAGGTACGCGGAATGGTGTAGCAAGTTTCTTGGGTTAATCTTTCGAAAGTCGCTTACTTCATCCCAGCTGCCAGATGACTGGAAGATTGCAAAAATAATACCTATTCATAAATCAGGAGAACAGTCATTGGTTTCAAATTACCGGCCGATATCCCTCACTATCATTTCATGTAAGCTACTAGAGCATATCATCCTCAAACACATAACTGTTTTTCTCGAGAAAATAAAATTTTTGTCTCCTAATCAACACGGATTTCGTAGTGGCCTGTCCACTGTTACGCAGCTAACGGAGGTAGTTCATGATCTAGCTTCTACCATAAATAATCGTGGCCAAACAGACATAATTTTACTTGATTTCTCTAAGGCTTTCGATTGCGTATGTCACAGAAAGTTACTAATTAAACTGAAAAGTGCGATAGGAGAGGGGTTATTGTTTTCTTGGATAGAAAATTTCTTAACAAATCGCTCACAGTTCGTGCAGTATGAAGGTCATATATCAAACATAGTCCCCGTAACTTCTGGGGTCCCTCAAGGTTCCGTCTTGGGACCACTACTATTTTTAATTTTCATAAATGACCTCACGTCAAACATTAACTGTAATATCAAACTGTTTGCAGATGACTGCATTATTTATAAGGAGGTAAACAGCTACACAGACCACATTAATCTCAATGAATGTCTAACCAAGCTAGCAGATTGGTGCGCTAAGTGGCAAATGTCCATCAATGTGAAATAATCCGCAGCTATGACGGTAACACGTAAGCAGAATCCATCGCAATTCATCTACACCATTCATGGTTCACCACTGACTAATGTTGTGCAGCATAAGTACTTAGGCATTACATTAACGTCTGACCTGAGATGGGATACACACATAGCTAACGTCACTGCGGCCGCACTGCGTAAACTTTTCTACCTAAAAAGACGACTTAGAATTGCACCAGCGCCCGCAAAACTCTTGACTTATACCATGTTCGTAAGACCAGTATTAGAATATGCCAACGTAGTTTGGTTTCCTTATACGCTAAGTGGTATTAGTAAATTAGAGGCAGTACAACGCAAAGCCATACGGTTTGTACACAACAAGTTCAAACATGCAGATTCTCCCACTAACCTTCTGGCTTCTTCTGGCATTGAAAAACCAGCTACTAGGGCAAAAGAGGCACGCCTGAGGTTCTTGTGCCAGTTGTTACATGGCCACTAGATGTGTCTAAGTACGTCAAATTTTCACAGTCACGCCCTACTCGTCATAAGCACAAACACAGTCTGCAAGAATATTCCTCAAACAGTGACGTCTTTGGAAAATCGTTTTTCCCACTAACAATACGCGAATGGAATAAACTGAATGCAAATGCTACTAATGCCGACACACTATCCACAGTCACCGCAGTGTCAGAAACCATGCGTAATCTGCAGTAGTTTTCAATGCTTCACATACCTTTGCTATTTTCCTCTTTTCTTTTTATTTTTTGCACGGCGCACTGTAGCAGGCCAGAAGGTACTGGGTGAGGCTTATGTATGTCAGTTGGAATGTTATTGTTTGTTCTTCATGAATGTATACTACCTGCAATGTGCCCTCTGTAATGACTCCAACATGGGAGTCGACAGTATTGCAAATAAATAAATAAAATAAATAAATATCTTTATTATACCCTAACGTCTTAAGCACTTTGAAGTGTTCTCTAGTGACGAAGGTGCAACACAGGCAAACGTGCAGGCTGATCACAGTCTTAGAAAGGCCTACTAATATACTCATCATGTAACTTAGGCTGATAAATAAAAAGATGACGGTCACAAACCTGAAGCAGCAGCGTAATGAGAAATGCAGTGTGGGCAGCTGTAGTGAGCACAAGCTTTATTATTCAGCACTGTGGCAAACAGTGCAAGAATAAGGAATGAAGATGGAAAAATATGCGAAATATTATATATATTGATTCGCTTCGTCTGTTCGTTTCTTGACATTGACATGACTAGAAGGGCACACAGAGCACAGAAATGCATAAAATGCAGAAATGTAAAATTCACGTAATCACGTAAAAAGTCACGTAAAATTACGAGCAATATACATAGAAAGCATAATTTTTTACAAGAAATGAAAAAAGAAACTTTGTGCAAGCAATGTCTCATGCCGCAAACACACACATTGCATCATCATCATCATCATCATCATCATCATCATCATCGTCGTCGTCGTCGTCGTCATCATCATCATCATCATGACTACGTTCACTGCAGGACAAAGGCCTCTCCTATGTTCCGCCAGTCAACTCGGTCCTATGCTTACTGCTGCCATTTTACAGCCGCAAACTTCTTAATCTCCTCTGCCCACCTCACTTTCTGTCTCCCCCTTACGCGCTTGCCTTCTCTGGGAACCCAGTCAGTTACTTTTAATGACCAGCGGTTATCCTGCCTACGTGCTCAATACCCGGCCCATGTCCATTTCCTCTTCTTGATTTCAACTATGATATCCTTAACCCCGGATTGTTCCCTGAACCACTCTGCTCTCCTCTTGTCTCTTAAGGTTACACCCATCATTTTTCTTTGCATCGCTCGCTGCGTCGTCCTCAATTTAGGCTGAACCCTCTGTGTAAGTCTTCAGGTTTCTGATTCGTAGTTAAGTACCATCAAGATGCAGCTGTTATATCCCTTCCTCTTGAGGGATAGTGGCAATCTACCTGTCAAGATTTGAGAGTGCGTGCCAAATGTGCTCCACCCCATTGTTATTCTGCCAGTTACTTCAATCTCGTGGTTCGGCTCCGCGGTTATTACCTCTCCTAAGTAGACGTAGTATTTCACAACTTCAAGTGCACTATCACCTATCTCGAAGCGCTGTTATATTCCGAGGTTGTTCTACATTACTTTTGTTTCCTGCAGATTAATTATAAGACCTACCTTTCTGCTCGCTTTGTCTAACTCCGTGATCATAAGTTGCAATTCGTTCCCTGAGCTACTCAGCAATGCCATGTCATCGGCGAAGCGTAGGTTACAAAGGACTCTGCACTAACTCTTACCCCTAACTCTTTTCATTCTAGGCCTCTGAAAACCTACTGTAAGCACGCGGTAAATAGCA